TCATAAATATAGATATTACAATCATTAGATCATTAATTGTGTCAAAACATGCAATGAACATTTTGATTAACAAAGTAAAATATTCTTTCTTTGTTTATTTATTATCCCTAAGTTGCCCAGTTATCAAAAACCTTTTTGTGTGTTTGTGTGTGAATATTTTTCCTCAATAAAACGTGAATTTCAGTGAAGAATGTCAGTGGGTGAGTTCTGTTGCCTATGGAAGTCATTGATGGTTCCATCCTCTGTCAGTGGGCAAGTTCTGTTCAGTAATATTCGTGTGTTGTCCATAGTTTCATTTATCACTGGTCAATTACTCATGAGTAGGAATGGGGTATCTTAATCCCACATTATCTGATGTTCAACCACATAAATGACCAGTTGATTTAATAATGTATGGCTCCATCTTTCCGCCATGTCATGAAAAGCAGAATGAATAGTTGTTGTCCTGATCTTTTTTGTCCTAAGGATTTGATACATCTCCACAGACAGGGCTTGTTAAAAGTCATCCCTAGTCTGAGTGAAGTTCCACAGTCATCTCACATTTTGAAAACTATTCTAGCTTCCTGATTAGGAACAGCGTGTGATTCTGTCCATTTGGTGAAATAGTCCAACATAACCAAAAAAAACTTTATTCCCACTTTCGCTCTATGGCAGAGGACCTAATATAGAAATAATAACTCTCTCAGGTGGTGCTGTAACACATTACTGCTTTAATTATCCATGTTGTTTCCTTTTCCTTTGCAGCACAGATTACGACACCAATCCTTTATAAATCCAACACAGTAGAACCATTATCTTATAATCTTCAGTGTCTATCTGTTAGAAAGCTGTGGAAGTGACTGGATGCTTCTGATTGCAGTCACTGTGGAAGCACCAACTCAAATCATAAGTTCTGCCCATAGTGTCTCATTTTCATCAAAACGAGCCTTTTTATAGGCATATACTCAACTGTACCTAGTATATCTTTATGTTGGACTGTATTGAGCTACTCAAGTGCACAATCGTATATTAAATTTCAAAATTTCAGTACAAATAACATTTATAACCCTATTTATCTCAAAAGTATTTTATAATTAATATCTTGTCATTTTGTAAAATCTAATTAGTATAATTTACATAAAAGATTCAAACTACATTTCTGACCAGCTAGAGGAATCAATGCATTTAGCAATTATTTTTTAGATTTTCTACCCAACTCAAAGCATATGTTTGTACTTGCTAAGAAACTATCATCCCTTGAGAATACAATTAGCCATATCCTATTTCTCTCCTGATTTTTCTTCTGTGTTTGAGGTTTTATTATTACAACCATATATTCCAACCCTCTTACGATGTCACAGCATGTGGTCTGAACAATCACTGTGCCACTAGGGAGAAGATACAAGATTTGGAATCTTCCAACTTAAAAATTATTGAAAATGTAAGTAAGTTATCTGATATTTTAAGTGAACACTAGGTACTATTTAATTACTTTGTACTAAGTTTCATGCAATTTGTTTTAGCATTTCCACTGTGAGAAGGAAAAATCAAAGAATATCAGTGACAACTTACTGATCCAGTTAATACCCATATCTTTTATTTGAGAATACTTCATTCGCGTGTTGAGCGCCATCTGTGTATGTCCCAACTTTGGCTCTATTCTGTTGGCTTTTCGCTGGTTGTCTTTATTATCTTGTTGTGTTTCCTCTTTTCACAGTGTTTACATTCTTTGGCAATACTTTGTCTTCGGAAAAATGTATTAGCATTTCCATGGTTTTATTTTTAGGAGCCACCTTGGTATCTAACATTTTGTATTATAGAAATTTGTCAAACACTTCAATAGTGTATGATCTGTCTGGAGTGTAAAGTATTGGCCATAGAGGTAGTGATGGAAATTGCTTTAGGCTCATATATCACTTAGTGGTTATTTTCAAGTTGTATAATACCTCCTTTCTGTATCATCTGTACCAATAATGAGTGGAACTTCAAGAACTATGTATGCTAATACAGAAATAGTGGTTAGTTCTTTCTTTAGTTTGTTAAATGCTTGTTCACCACCAGCAATCCAGCAAAGCTTCTTTGTTTTTTTCTGATAGTTTGTGAACAGCATGAGTTATCAGAGAAAGATTTTTACAAAATGACGACAGAAGAAGAAATATTCTTACCTCACGCAAATTCTGCAGTGTTGCCCGATACTGAAAAGATCCCAGTACTTTTCTTAGATCACCACAAGCATCAATAAAGGTCTTCCCCATTATTCAACTAGATTAGTAGAATATTCCAGGGTAATCCAGAGAGAACACATTCCATTAATCATTCAAATGTAGTTGGTACATTGTATAACCAAAATGTTAATACAACAAACTGCCATAATACATTACCTGTATTTTCTTGACTTTCTTCGTCGACTTGCACTTGCCAGTATCCACTCTTAATATCCAATGCTGTGGAAATATTCTGATCCAGATAAAACATCAAAAGTTGAGTCAATCCTTGACAATAGGTAGACATCTAGGTACCCCCTTGTGTGACTTCATTGTTTTGTCATGAACTAATTTTCTGATAATTTAGTTCATTCAATAAAGCATATTTGATTTTCAAATAAAATGTTTTTCCTCTGTAATATAACACGATTTAGGCCATTTTCAAAACCATTAAAGCCCCAAAAACAAAATAATCTCCTACCGTTTCTATATGTAAGAAATAGAGATAATTGCGTCCAATTCAAACTTAATAAATATATATATCTAGTAATATATAACTTGTGTTGAGTGATCAATATTAAAAACATTTATACCTCGACGAATATAATTCACACGAAACTGGAAAATAGTATATAAAGTAACTTGCTTATTTTAGTTTACCTGAAATCGTTAGTTTTTCAGGGAACCTAAAATTAATCACTAAGTACATCTCCTTGTATATTTTACATCACATTTGAGAGAAAATTATACTAAATATAAATACAGCACATCCAAAATCCATAATGAGACAAAAAATTTTAACAGGTGATAAGAAATGAGAAATTTTAAAGCTGTTTTTCATTCACTATTCTCTTAATTATCCATTTACGGGTTTTAAGTTAGAGGTGTATAAAAATAGAATTTCGGATCTATTCTTTGGTTGCTACAATTCATTGCTAAAAATACCCTTCATTTTGTAGTAGAACTCATCAGATTCAAAGTACACAAAAGATTAACTAAGGGGAATGTTAAGAAAATACAGTTAAACGTGGTTTTAATTACTTCTCTTAGGTCTAAAACAGCCCATAACTTCGCTAGCTTAGGCGTTTTGCACTGCATTAAGTTTTTGTATTGGACACAGGTTGCATTTCAGATATATTTTTGGCTGCCATAAGCTTCATTTCAAATCATGTGTATAAGTAGAGAATCGATTAAAGGCATACAAAAAATAGATCTAAGATAGTGTTTTTACACATTTTTGAATTAAAGTCCTTCGTGTTCCGACTAAGATAGATGGGAATATAAACATGTTCAGTTGAAATTAAAACTTGTTTACTGTCGGATATACAGAGTATAATATTTATGGCTACAACGTTTCATTAGATTAACTTAGCATCATCAGGTACAACATTTACAAGGAATGAACTCAGATTAACTCGGTGAAACGTTGTAACCATAAATATTATATTCTGTATATTCGACAATAAACAACTTTTACGTTTTACCTAACAGGGTATTTTCTTTAAATATTTATGTTCAGTTGAAGTTTACGTATGGGTATATTTCGGACCAAGTTGTTATTGTTATTTGAGAATAACCTCACAAATCTGAAGGTTAATGCTGAACTTGGACGTTTGAAAATGGGCTTGGGATCCACAGAGCTCGGATTCGAGACATGGTGCTGTCAAATACGCATCGCACTTTTAACTTTGGGTGTTTGGCGATGGGTGGTGATGACAAGTTGCC